CTCAAGTGTTGCAGTTGACCAATAGCAACCAATGGGGTACTCTATTGGCTTTCTACTGGTTCTCAATTGTTGCAATTGATCAGTAGCAACCAATGGGATACTCTACTGGCTTTCTATTGGTTCTCAAGTGTTGTAATTGTGTAAGTGTTGCAGTTGACGAGTAGCAACCAATGGGTACTCTACTGGCTTTCTACTGGTTCTCAATTGTTGTAATTGTGTAAGTGTTGCAGTTGACCAGCAGCAACGAATGAGGTACTCTGCTGGCTTTCTACCGGTTCTCAAGTGTTGCAGTTGACCAGTAGCAACCAATGGGGTACTCTATTGGCTTTCTACTGGTTCTCAATTGTTGCAATTGACCAGTAGCAACCAATGGGATACTCTACTGGCTTTCTACTGGTTCTCAATTGTTGTAATTGTGTAAGTGTTGCAGTTGACCAGCAGCAACCAATTAGGTTCTCTGCTGGCTTTCTATTGGTTCTCAAGTGTTGTAGTTGACCAGTAGCAACCAATGGGGTACTCTACTGGCTTTCTATTGGTTCTCAAGTGTTGCAGTTGACCAATAGCAGCCAGTGGGATACTCTACTGGGTTTCTACTGATTCTCAATTGTTTTATAATGTGCAAATGTTGCAAGTCTTCAAAGCGTGAAAGTTTATATGATTAAACTCATAGCAATTTTGATTTATAGCACTCAATAGCTTGAAATATTAATAGTTTTTAAATAATATAATTCCCGTAGATGTTTCGTTTCAAGTCATTATATCAGGTCTTGGGTAATTTTTATAATTATAAATAAAGAAACGTAAAAAATATTGGATCTTATCAAATTTAGTAAATATGTTCATTCTATTATTTACACGTAATGTTCATGCAAATTCGTAAGGCCTAGAGATTATCTGTAATAACACGTGTCGGTCAAACTGGTGGCTGAGAAACAAACTGAACTGTACAGGTTCAGATGAATATACATTATTTACAGGACTGATGATAAATATGAATAATAAAAAAAAAGAAGTTCCTTAAATCATAAAGAACTTACAATTTGTAACATTATATGTGAAGCTTCGCTGACTGACTTGTTGTGTAGGAAATAGTTACTTTTGAAGATTCATAAAAATAGACGATTCTGTAGACAATACAAAGGACATAATAGTACATTCTGTAGACAATACAAAGGACCCTATAGTACATTCTGTAGACAGTACAAAGGACACTATAGTACATTCTGTAGACAATACAAAGTACTCTATAGTACATTCTGTAGACAATACAAAGGACCCTATAGTACATTCTGTAGACAATACAAATGACCCTATAGTACATTCTGTAGACAATACAAAGGACCCTATAGAAGATTCTGTAGACAGTACAAAGGACACTATAGTACATTCTGTAGACAATACAAAGGACACTATAGAATATTCTGTAGACAGTACAAAGGACACTATAGTACATTCTGTAGACAGTACAAAGGACACAATAGTACATTCTGTAGACAATACAAAGGACCCTATCATACATTCTGTAGACAATACAAAGGAAACTATGGGAGATTCTGTAGACAATACAAAGGACACAATAGTACATTCTGTAGACAGTACAAAGGACACTATAGAAAATTCTGTAGACAGTACAAAGGAAACTATAGTACATTCTGTAGACAATACAAAGGACTCTATAGTACATTCTGTAGACAATACAAAGGACACAATAGTACATTCTGTAGACAGTACAAAGGACCCTATAGAAGATTCTGTAGACAATACAAAGGACACAATAGTACATTCTGTAGACAGTACAAAGGACCCTATACAAGATTGTGTAGACAATACAAAGGACCCTATCATACATTCTGTAGACAATACAAAGGACACAATAGTACATTTTGTAGACAATACAAAGGACACAATAGTACATTCTGTAGACAATACAAAGGACACAATAGTACTTTCTGTAGACAATACAAAGGAAACTATAGTACATTCTGTAGACAATACAAAGGAAACTATAGGAGATTCTGTAGACAGTACAAAGGACCCTATAGTACATTCTGTAGACAATACAAAGGACCCTATAGAAGATTCTGTAGACAATACAAAGGACACAATAGTACATTCTGTAGACAATACAAAGGACACAATAGTATATTCTGTAGACAGTACAAAGGACACTATAGGAGATTCTGTAGACAATACAAAGGACCCTATAGAAGATTCTGTAGACAGTACAAAGGACACAATAGTACATTCTGTAAACAATACAAAGGACCCTATAGTACATTCTGTAGACAATACAAAGGACTCTATAGTACATTCTGTAGACAATATAAAGGACACAATAGTACATTCTGTAGACAGTACAAAGGACCCTATAGAAGATTCTGTAGACAATACAAAGGACCCTATAGTAGATTCTGTAGACAATACAAAGGACACTATAGTACATTCTGTAGACAGTACAAAGGACACTATAGTACATTCTGTAGACAGTACAAAGGACTCTATAGTACATTTTGTAGACAATACAAAGGACACAATAGTACATTCTGTAGACAATACAAAGGACACAATAGTACATTCTGTAGACAATACAAAGGACCCTATCATACATTCTGTAGACAATACAAAGGACACAATAGTACATTCTGTAGACAGTACAAAGAACACTATAGTACATTCTGTAGACAGTACAAAGGACACAATAGTACATTCTGTAGACAATACAAAGGAAACTATAGTACATTCTGTAGACAATACAAAGGAAACTATAGGAGATTCTGTAGACAGTACAAAGAACACTATAGTACATTCTGTAGACAGTACAAAGGACTCTATAGTACATTCTGTAGACAATACAAAGGACACAATAGTACATTCTGTAGACAGTACAAAGGACCCTATAGAAGATTGTGTAGACAATACAAAGGACACTATTGTACATTCTGTAGACAGTACAAAGGACACTATAGTACATTCTGTAGACAGTACAAAGGACACTATAGAAAATTCTGTAGACAGTACAAAGGACACTATAGAAAATTCTGTAGACAGTACAAAGGAAACTATAGTACATTCTGTAGACAATACAAAGGAAACTATAGTACATTCTGTAGACAATACAAATGACACAATAGTACATTCTGTAGACAGTACAAAGAACACTATAGAAGATTCGGTAAACAGTACAAAGAACACTAAAGAATATTCTGTAGACAGTACAAAGGACACTATAGAAGATTCTGTAGACAGTACAAAGGAGATTCTGTAAACAGTACAAAGGAAACTATAAGAGATTCTGTAAACAGTACAAAGGAAACTATAAGAGATTCTGTAAACAGTACAAAGGAAACTATAGAATATTCTGTAGACAGTACAAAGGACACTATAGTATATTCTGTAGACAATACAAAGGACCCAAAGTTATCAAAGAAGGCGACGTTAGCAATAAGATAGTTATATCACACCCAGTGCGCACATATCCGAATATCACAAATTAAGCAGCAAAAAAGGTTAGTGAGATTTGTGAAACTGGCGTTTAGCGTTTG